TGCAAAAATGTTTAGAATGATGCGTAAATGTCAAACATTCAACCCATTGGAGACCCGCACGTTTTAGGCATGGTAGCCGTGCAGAACTTCTGTGAAAGTTTTAGAAAGCTTATTGAGCGAAAAGAAGATCCTTCGATCTGGAGAGAGATTTTTGAAGTAGACAAAGTGAGAAATGCAGGAGAAGGTGAAGATCTCTGGCCAAAAAATGGCTCGCAAAGTCCTTTATGGGCGGTAATCTGCAGCTATAGGCTGCATGCTCTCCAAAGTGCCCAATGACGTTCTGCCATTCTATTTTGTTTCGTCTACTCCCAATGTTCTCAATCTACAATGAGAACTCTCGCCACAACTGGTAACACGCATTGGTGTATGGGTATGAAATTAGACAGTTGTTAAAGGGGGTACGCACGTTGTGAATAGAGGTGGGAAATTTTCGATTTAAAATGAATTGGGAAGAAGTGTTCAAAGCAAGCAACGTGAGCATCAGGCGGATGCGCCATCCAAATGTTCAGAAGCATGGGTGGCGTTTCTAGGCCACGCCCACGCCAGACTGACTGAGCTGCTCGCACAGAGTTAGTCGAAATGCTTGAGTTGGATTACTTGCTGACTAGCGAATTGAACCAGAATTGCAACTGGTGGAAGAAATGAAGCAAGTAATGCTATATAGTGCTGATGTGAATGTGAAATTCTGCCGAAAAAGGCAAGAGGCGTTTTCCTACCAGAAAAGCTTGTTAGGTCATCGCGGCCAATTGAATTGATACAGTACTATTGGCACTTTTAAGCGCTCATCTTAAGTTGTTACCCTTAACATTCTTGAGATGAGCGCTTAAAAGTGCCAATAGTACTGTATCAAAGCATTCATTCAGCTAAACAATTCTTTGAGCTTAGTCACCGAAAAGCGCAGCGGTGATGGTTCGTGCTCACGAAGAAGAGGTCGTGGGATCGACTCTGAACATAAGAAAGTTTACATTTTGCCCTCACGACAACATGTTTGGAAGTCTTTTCAGGCATGTCGTCGTGAAAAGCCAAAACCGTGAGCAGCAAAGCTTTACGTCCCATGTACAATCGTTTAGCAGTTACCAAAAGCTTAATTTAAGCACAGAGTCTTCAGGCGCGTGTGGAATTTGACGTGGAAATTGGACAGATTGACCTGACAATCTTTCGTTGTTGAGCCCAAGAGATTCTTTCTTAGAAGTTCCACTTCAGAAATACTCGTGATTCCTATTTCAAGGTTTTCATCGAATGGGAAGCCCAAAGAATTTCGAATTAGTTCTTCCAATTTTCTTTGTGCAATCGTCACTTAGGACATTGGTGAGCAAGTGCTTGGACAAAGACATGCATCTATTTGATGAGGAGATCTAACGATGCGATGTCCAATTTGCACGTGTGAACCCATTCAGTGCACTAATTCAAGGACGTCTAGCGAACGAGCATTTAGACTGACAGTCA